TTTTTTTTTTTTTTTTGGTACCGAGGCTCAAACTTGGGACCTTGCACTTAAGGCAAGATGGTGGAACCAGTAAGCTAATCCCCAGCCCTAGTTTTTGTTTTGTTTTTTGAGACAGGGTCTCACTATCTAGTTCAGACTGCCCTGGAACTCACTGTGTAGCCCAGGCTGGTCTCGAACTCAGAGCGATCCTCCTGCCTCAGCTTCCCAAATGCTAGGATTACAGGCATGCACCCCCATGCCCGGCTTTCTAGTGTCTTTTGAGACGGGGTCTTGCTACCTAGTCCAGGCTGACCTTGAACTCACTAACTCAGGGTGGACTCAAACTCATGGCGATCCTCCTGCCTCAGCATTCTGCGTGCTGGGATTACAGGTGTGCACCACCATGCCTACTTCATAGGTTAAATATTTAAATCAAATTTCCTACTTTTGTGTTTTGTTTTTTATCTTGCTTCAGAGTATTCTCTGGCAAGATTTAACAATAAGGCAGTTGCATAGTCCTCTGCTGGCCATGATCATTATTTTCATATCCAGAAGTTAGTCAGAGCATGGCAAGCAAGACTCCTGTGAAATAATACGTAGGCCACTGTCACCTGTAACGTTTGGCATCTCTGATTTTCAGCAAGTAGGGCCAATCCCGTCACAACCCAAAGCGCCCTCTCTAAGCGTCCTTTCTCAAGGTGGCAGGTGAGTATTAGAGCACCAGGGTGGCACAGCTGTACAGATTTACCTCCGGATGAGCGCTGAGGAAGCAGGCACAGAGCCCGACACAGGTCTGTGTTCAGTATCCAGTCATGTAAAACTCCCTCGGGAAGACACGAGAAGGCACGTCTGGAAGGCAGCACACACCTCTTCATTGTCACTGAGCCCCAGCAGTTCTTCAGATTTCATGCGTGACCTCAATGCACATTTAATGACGGCAATGGAGGAAAAATCACCTTATACTAGATCAATAATAGGTAGGTACAGTAATATTTGGAGGACAGGGGACAAAGGACAAGAAACAGCTTGCCTTATTACACTTCACGAACTTTCATTTTCCCTAGTGATCAAGGAAGCGTGAGCTGCATTTCTTCAGCAGGTCAAAGGCTCCAACAGGGCTGCAGAAAGGCGATGATCAACTCTGTGCTAAGCAAAAAGTGCTTAGAGGGCCGGGAATTTAGCTCAGGGGTTCTGCCGCCTGCCTCGCAAAACAAGGACCCGAGTTTGATCCCTGTTACCAAAAAAAAAAAGGGGCGGGGGCAGAGGGGATTAGCACACGGTCAGTTTTACTATAGATGATGAAAATTTCGCTTGATAGATTTGGCTTTTTTGGTATCTGTTTCTCCACTGTGAAGGATTTGGAAGTGTCCTACTTATAAAAGAGGATGAGCTGACCAGGGAGACTTGCAAATTCTACAAAGAAAAGTCTTCTCCAGATAACTGGTTGGAAAAGTAACAGATGTCCAGAAACAATGGATTCTAGGAGAGTTAAATCATTTTCAAAATATTTTTTAAAAATCGTAACTATGGAACTCATGAAAATAAAAAACAATACAAAAGAAAAAGAAGCCTCAGAGGTAATGTATGACTGCTGCTCATGATACTTTTTGGAAATAATACTGGCCACGTCAGAAAGTCTTTAAAACCTACATTTAGAAAATGTCCAAAGAATAATTTACATGATTCTCACGTGGTATCATCTTAACAATTCACTATTTTTTTGACAAAGCAAACAAAACAGAATCTCTTCATGCAGGACTAACAATATTGTATCCTATAATCTACAATTCATTACATTTTGGTAAAATTATGTTATAATCAAAGTATGCAAATTTGAAAAGATATCAAATCCCATATTATGTATGGAATCCCATATATTTTGGTAATGAGAAAGAAAACACCAACTAATAAAATGTAATTTAAAAAGACTCATTCCAGTATTACAAACATAGAAAACTGGGATACTTTCATCACATTTCATCAAAGGTTTGGTTTTCATTTAACTAACCAAAACACTGAGAACCATGGACTATTTACAAATGTGTTGCCAGGCATGGTGTTACATGCCTGTAATCCCAGTACTCAGGAGGCTGAGGCAGGAGAATCTCCATGAGTTTGAAGCCTGCCTGGGCTACACAGTTAGTTTATGGCCAGCCTGAACTACATAGTGAGACCCAGTCTGAAACAACAACACAACAACCAAACAACAACAAAAAACCCCAAATGTGCTGAAATTTGTGAATAAGTCAAACTTTAACAAAAATTCTAATAATTAAAAAAAACTTTAAAATGCGCTAGAAAGTAGAATGTGTCACAAAAATTTCTCATAAAATGCTTGCTTTTACTTTTCAAGACATTATTTAGAGCTGGCTGTGGTGGCGCTTACCTATAATCCCAGCACTTAAGAGGCCAAAGCAGGAGGATCATTGAAAATTTGAGGCCAATCTGGGCTACACAGTTTATTTAAGGCCAGCCTGAACTGTGTAGTGAGGGCTTGTCTCAAAAAACAACAGCAGCAGTAACAACAAAAACAAAAAAACAAAGCTATAATTTAAGAGGCATTCAAAAAACATGTAGCGATTAAGTTTGGAAAAATTATAAAGACTTTTACTTTTAAAATGACATCATTTTCCTTGCTTAAAATGTGTATTATTCACAAAGCATGTTTATAAATTTCACTGAAAAAATCAAAAGGTTCTCGTAAAGGTCAGGTCATATCATACATACTGCAGGCAGTTATAAAACCAAAAATAGCAAAACTAAAATTTAGAGAAACAAACTTTCTAAAAGGAGCCCATTTAAAGTCTGTAACATTTATAAGGATCTCACTGCCACAAGAACATTTTACAAAAATATAGTTTATATGTTTCATGAAATGTGAACGAGCCCACTAGTCTAACATTTTGTGTAAATGAATGAACAGTCAATGTGAAGTTGGATTACTAAATAAAGTGGAAGCCAGAGAGTCAGTATTCCTTAAAGATAAGTTAGAGCACATCATGGTCTTGGCTGTCCAATTCTGTTGTTACTTCCGTATCGACCTGGTATATTTGCAAAACCAGTCCTGAATCCATGAGCTGCTCCAATTCCCGGAGCGCCAAGTCCTTGATTAAACACGCTGCTGTAAGGCGTGTGTCCATGATTAAGACCAATACCATAAAGCCTTGTCTGCGTGTTGAGAAGAATAACTGGGCTCACATTTTTTCCAGGGGTGTTAAATGAAAATTCTGGAGGTGGACTACTAGGTTTAGCTGGAGTCGAGGTGACAGGGTTCAAATCATCAGTGTTCTTTAAAAGTGGCATTGGGATTATATGATGGTCTGAAAAGTTTAGGACATTGGCTGTAGCAGGCCCAGACACTAAGGCAGGCCTAATCCAATCATCCTTGAAAATCTGAACAGTCAGGGTAGACACTAGGGTATAAAGCCTGTTGGTCACATGAGC